CCCGACATACTTTGTAGCATAAACACATCTCGACACCTAACACCATCGGCATCCTTCTTGACCACTATTTTGGCCAACAACATAGAATAACATGACGTCATAACGACCACATCAATACAATTTATAACTTTCGACCAACTGTTCGAAATACCACAGTAACAGGCAACTATATTTCCTATCAACAGATTCGTTCATTGTATAAGACATTCACGTATATACCTTCCTAATACGACCACAACAACAATTCCTAATTTCCTGCCAACTGCTCGGGACACCACAACATCATAACGACCACATCACCCAGTGATAAACTACACTAACCTAATCATTGATCCTACCGGGAAATCATACATATAACTTAAAACGCCCACAACACTACTAACGGGAAACTATAACAATGATTCACTAATCATGTAATACGGTCATACAGTGACTCCCTAACGACCATAACATATAGAGAAACGGGCAACTTCGATAACAAATCCAGAAACATCAACGCACAGTCATACAAACGACCAATTCCCACATGATACACATCATAAATCCAATTATAAGGTCAGAACCTCACCCTTACCTGGATTGAAGTTCGCTCAACCAAAGCTTCGGCTGTAATCCTCGCTTTGCTCTGCTCGACACTGGGAAACTACTCCTCTCTCCGTGCGGCTTCACACGGTCAGCGCATAGAACTCCTTATTCACCAACTAAACCAAATCCTTGTGTCAGCTTAACCTTATATATCAAACCTATTGGGCTTAACTTTCACACCCCCATTTTACTACTTCCAACTAATAAAATAGGCCTAGCACAATTATTCTATTAATTCCAACATTATTATTATTATTAATCAATTAATTAATTAATTAAAAATAATCTAACAACTTCTACCAATAATTTCCAACATCTTACAATTTCAAAAAATAATTCAAAACAATAATTTAATTAAATAATTAATTAAATAAACTGGCGTTACATTAACTATCAATTTTCTTAGTGAAATTAGATAAAGTCAGAAGATGGATTTGGGATTGGTTGACTGATTGGTATTAGTAAACCAAGGTAAAGAATGGGACTTTAAAGTTAATGAGAATGGGATTATGAAGTTTTTGGATAGAGTTTGTGTGTTTGGTGTACCGGAATTGAAAAAGAAGATTTTGAAAGAGAGCCACTTGAGCAGTTTGAGTATTCATTTCAGAGCCACTAAGATGTATCAAGATCTTAACAAAATATTTTGGTGTCCAAATATGAAGAAGGATGTTACGTTGTTTGTTCGCGCTTGTTTGACTTGTCAGAAGTCAAAGATTAAGCATCAGAAGTCGCCTGGACTGGTGAAACTGTTGGATATTCCTAAATGGAAGTGGAATAGTATCTCTATGGATTTCGTGATAGGTTTTTTGAATACTCCTAAAGGAAGTGATGTGATTTGGGTTGTTGTGGATAGACTGACTAAGTCGATTCATTTTATTCTTATAAATATCAGTTTTCTGTTGTAGAAATTAGTAGAGATCTATATTAGTGTGATTGTGAAGCTACATGGAATTCCTTCAAGCATTGTTTTAGATTGAGATATTAGGTTCACATCAACCACAATTGGACATCAAAATTGAACTTGACATCATAGGTTTTTATTTCTCAAATTTAGGAGTCTCAGTTTGATGCACTTAAAGAAGATGGTTTATGATCTTATCAATGCCAACGTAGCTATGTGAGGACTGATGCATTGCCAAGAAGGCTAAAAGGTCACTCAAACCAGACTTACCAATGAATTCACATCATATATTGGAGATAGTTCACTCAGATGTGTATAGTTCCTTTGAAGTGAAGTCATTATGAGGTGAATTCTACTTTTTAATCTTTATATACGAATTTACTAGATACATGTGGAGTTATATGTTAGAGAATAAAATTGATGTGCTCATCAATTTTAATAAATTCAAGTTGTTAGTTAAGAAGTAGGTTGAATATGTAATCAAAAGGTTGAGAACAAGTGGTGGTGGTGAGTACACCTACTGATTTTTCCCATTTTGTGAAAAGAAAGGGATTGAGCATGAAGTTATAGTATCATACACACCTCATCATAATGGTATTATTGAGAGAAAGAAAAAAAGTATCTTGAATATGGCAAGAAGCCTGCTCATGGAAAAGAAAATTCCAAAAACATTTTTGGGGCGAGGCTAGCTCAACTACTGTCAACATCATCGATAGGTGTCCTATAAAGAAGTTTCACAACAAGACTCTTTAAGAAGTTTGGTCTATCGAGAAACCAATTGTTAGAAACTTTAAGTTTTTTGGCTCATTGTGTTACAGACATGTACCTGAGCAACTCAGAAGGAAGCTTAATGGTAGAAGCCAAATTATGATTTTGGTTGGCTACCATTCCACATGTGCCTACAAGTTATTCTCACAATTGAGAACAAGGTGGTGATTAGTAGAGATATGTAATTTTATGAAAGTAAAGGATGGAACTAACTCAACTCAATGTAGAAGGGTAAAGGTTCAAGTCACATTAAAACTACTCTTCAAGATGATAAACAAGTAGTAGAAGCTGAGACTGAACCTGGATAACCTCAACAGATGAGAAGATCATCAAGAACTAGAGCTCAACGAGTCAGGCTGAATGAATATGAAAGGTTTACAGATCAATCCATAAGAGAAAATAGTGACCTAATTGAAGAATCCATGATGGCTGAATCTGAGCCAATGGATCATGTTCAAGGCATGAAAGATAGGAATTGGCAAGGTGCAACGAATGAAGATACCAAAGCTATTGAAAAGAACAAAATTTGGGAACTGGTCATTTATTCAAGTAAGAAGGCAATAGATGTCGAGTGAGTTTGCAAGGTGAAGTTTTAGCCAAATGGTGAAATTGCCAAACATAAGACAAGATTGGTGGCAAAAGACTTTCTTTAAAAGTATGGAATTGATTTTAATGAAGTTTGTGCACCATTTGCTAGACTTGAAACCATATGACTGACTATAGCCATTGCATCATATCTATAGGTTGGAAGATGCACCAATTGGATGTAAAGTCAACCTTCTTCAATGGATCCCTAGAAGAAGAAATTTATGTAAAGAAACCATCTGGTTTTGAAGTTAAAGCGAAAGAGAAAATGGTGTAAAAGTTGAGAAAATATTTGTATGGATTAAAGCAAGCATCGAGGGTATGGAACAAGAGGATTACTATCTTCTTGATCAAGCTAGGTTTCAACAAGTGCACATAAAAACATGGAGTGTATGCGAAAGACTCAAGTGAACCAGACCAAGTCATCATGTATCTCTATTTGGATGCTTTATTGGTCACAAGTTCTAATGAAGAGGAATTGGCAAGATTTAAGGCAAACATGTAGAATGAATTTGAGATGTTAGACTTAAGAAATTTGGCCTACTTCCTAGAAATGGAAATTGTGAACACAAGGCAATGGAGTTTTCTTGCATCAGAAGAAATTTGCAAGAAACATCCAGAAGAAGTTCAAGATGAGCAATTGCAATCATGCAAACACATATATGGAGACCAACATCAAATTGAAGGAGTCAGATGATGAGTTGATAAATAGAACTTTTCACTTGCAGATCATTGACTCCTTGACGTATCTTTGCAATGCAAGGCCTGTTGTTTATTATAGTGTGAGATTGGTTAGTAGATTCATGGAGAAACCAAGACTATGCCATCTACTTACAACAAAGAGGATCCTAAGGTACATTAGAAGTACAACTGACCATGGAGTACTCATGTCAAATGAACAAACACACAAGAATGTAAGGCAAGTTGTATCGTTATTGTGATTCAGATTGGAGTGATTATCAAGATGATAGAAAGAGGACAAGTGGTTACTTGTTCATGCTTGAATTATCACCAATCTCGTGGAGTTCAAAGAAGCAAGAAAGTATGGTTTTGTCTTCATGTTAGGAAGAGAATGTTGTAGCCTCTTATGCTACATGTCAAGCACTCTGGCTGGAGATGTTGCTTGAAGAGTTGAATGTGAACAACTGTGAGCAAATCAAGTTGCTAGTGGACAATCAATCAATAATTGATTTGACAAACCATCATATGAGTCATGGTAGGAGCAAACACATGGAAATGAGGTATCATTTTCTTAGAAACCAAGTTAGTAAAGCAAGGTTGAGAATTGAATATTGCAAGACTGAATTGCAATTGACTGACATTCTCACAAAACCCTTGAAACAAGCAATATTTGAAGGCCCAAATGATTGATGAAAATGAGTAATTTAAGAAATCTCAATTAAGAAGGGTATTAGATGTGTAATTTAGTTTTCAAAAGTTAATGCTAGTTCAACATATGGTTACTGCTAATTCAACATGTGATTAGTGATAGTTTAATATGTGGTTACTGATAGTTCAACATGAAGTTACTGATAATTCACCATGTGATTACTGATAGTTAAGCATGTGGTTACTACTAATTATGCATTTGATTATTGATTATTGATAACTCGTTATGTAGTTACTAACTAAAAGTTAGTTAGTGATATGATCTATATAAAAGATGTAACACATGTTTGTAAAAAAAAACTCAATTTCATTCCAATAATACTTCTATCTCTCAATTGCTCTTTATTATTTTCTAATTTCCTCGATTTGCAAATAACTTGTAATCCAAGTTATCCAACTTAAAGTCCAATAGTATTGGGCGTAAGGGATGTATTAGATTAATTCTACTTAATTTATTACAAACAAGCATGCATGGCGTGGAAATGATAAAAGATTCCGTTGGTTGAAGGTTCTAAAAAGTGATAGAAAATGATTACATTCATTCCATTTTTATCCATTGTTCATAACATATCATTCACATCAACATCGATTTGTATTGTTCTGAATTTTTCTTTATGTTCTACCATTTCTAAAAGTGGAGTATTTTAACTACTGTGAAGTTTCTTTCAAAAAGATTATAATATGAGGTTTATAACATATCTAAATCAGAATTAGACAAATGAAATATTTGAGTTATACAAAAGAATAAGTTTGTCAAAAAGAAAAATGCTTTTCATCTAGTGAAGTTACAACAAAATTGGTTCTTAGAGAAACTCAACCTCCTTGGTAGCTGGTACGGTTGAAATGATAACCGTTGACTCACATTTCTGTTATGAGGACCGCGCTGAATTTGCGGTGCATTGACCTTAAGTACGATAGCATTAGAGGTAATCCAATGCGATTTTAATAGTTTATTAGACATGGTCTTGATTGTTGTGGTTGACTTGTTTAAGCGCAAACCTTGAATAGGCGAACATAATATTGTAGCCCCAACCGTCATTGATATCAAAGCTAGCACACTTAAACCAAGTCCTTGTTTAATGATGTGAAACATTTTCCCCTGCAAGATAAGAACAGTGGAAGACAGGTTGAGATTGATAAAAATTAGTTTAATAATGGTGAACCGAAAAATAGTAAGAGTATTCTCATCTCTACAAAATTAAGTTTCACGAAGAATATCATTAGAAATTTTGAGATAATTGCATGTTATTTATTAGGTGACTTACCAAAGAGAAGTTCTTGTTGGACCTTTCTATGTTCTTCACATCCAAAACAGTAGTATCCTTCCCCTTGGATTCATCCACAGATGATTCATTCATACCAGCTGAATGCCCGGAATCTGAAGGTCCTACAACAAGTCCACGGCTGTTTAGCATTTGCAAATCTTCAAGATGATCTTCCTTGCACAACATATGCCACCCACACTTCCTTATCTTCCATCCTCCTACTTCCACTTCAAAGCGCAACGAACTGTTTTCCCTGAACTCTGGCTTTCTATGTTTGCTAAACTCTTCCTGCATTAACCATCTTCGGTCCTCCCTTCGGTGTCTCTGTATGTATATAAAATCACCACTCACTACCATAGTGACGAGGTAAAGATTACTATATGCTGTTGAACCTGCAGACAGTGATAAGGAAGGGCTGTCTTCAGGTCCAAGAGTATCAAATTTCCAACACAAGCGCATAAATCTCATAAAAAAACTTTTAGCTCCTTCCTCTGAATCCCGAGGAGCTTCAGCTTCTAAGGCCACAAGTACAGCCACCCCCCACCAGTCACTTGAAAGACAATCAGCAGGGATGTCCACTCTTACCGATGCAAATGAATCGTGTTTTGATACATATGACGAGCTCAATGGAAAAAAATTCTGATTATCAAATCTTGATGGGATTTTGAAGTACATAGGATAACTGAAGTCAAACATCTGTAACAATGTAACTTTTTTTTGTTAACAATAATAGATGAAATACAAGCATGGATAATAATATACTAAGTGGCTTTGTCAGTGTAATGTAACTTGTAAGTAAAATTAAAATATTTTAGTTTGTAGGTGCACATACTTGAGGCGCATATGACTGTAAGAGTTCTTTGTCACTTGATTCAAACAGCTTCCATATCTTTTGTGGATCTAATGCATTAGCTTCCCTTACATCTGAATCTGCTCCATACAAGCGTACATGAGGTGGAAGCACTGGTAAAGATTGGAGCTGCGGGCAATCTTCCAATTCAAGATATCGAAGCTTTGAAAGATTAGCAAGATAGTGAGAAGGTAGGCGTACAAAATTGTTTCCACTTAGAATCAGATTCTCTAATGATGATAAGCAATCAATATCATGAGGAATTGAATCGTCGGTGAGATTACAATGGCTTAAATCCAATACAGTTAATGAGGAAAGGCCTGATACAAAACGGGGCAATGTTAAGCCCGTTGTGTGAGCTGGGAAAAACCTGAACTTTTTGCCAAAAGGCAGCTGAAACTCCCAGCTGGAGTTGGATGCTGGTCCGCTACATCCACTTAAAGATAATCTTTTAATATTTTCTAACTGAAGTAGGGATGGATCCAATTCTCTAATAGCGGTTCTGCTCAAGTCAATGTCCACCAAAGCCTTGTTTTGATTTATACCATCTGGCAGGGTACGAATTTTTGAACATCTTGATATGTTGAGAATTCTGAGAGTTTTCAGGTTACTGATGCTGTTTGGAAGGCATAGAAGATTCTCGCAATTCGTTATGATAAGTTCCGTAATGCGTGTCATATTTTTCCCAAAATCAGGAAGTTTTTTAATTTTTGAGCAATCAGAAAGAAATAGCATTTTCAACGAAAACATTTCCAATTTATCTGGAAAGGTTTTCAGATCTACGCATCCCATCAAGCTCAATATCATGAGTTTTCTGTGTCGTCTGATAGATTGGTGTACTTCAACAAGTTTTGGACAATCATTAAGATACAACTCTTCGAGATTTGGAATTCCAGAGATATTTGGAGTTTGACGTAAATCTTTGGAGTTACTCAAATCAATTACTTTCAGCTTTCCAAAATACTGGGAAAAAATACAAAGAAAGAGACTAGCATTGTAAAATCATGGGTCAACACTATAAGTTATATGAAGGCTCTTCTTAACTGATAATTCTTACCTCATTTTCACTCCACAAATGTTTAACTTTGCTGTTGATCATTTGTAAATGTACAAGCTCATCTAGTTGAACTCCAAGTGGAAGAGCATTCAATGGATATCCCCACCATATAAGCACTTTTAGTGAGCTAGAAAGATATTTCAAACCAAGGGAAAGATGCAGATCACATAATATAATGAGTAACCTAAGATTACCCATCTTTGAGAATGCCTCAGGGTCCCAATGTACTTTATACAGCGGAGATGGCGATGGTTTCAAAACTATACCTTGCACAATTTCAGTTCCCTAGTAAACAATAATCATCAGATACAATTTATACACAAGGAGTGCAGTAAAAGTATTGTAACTTGGCAATTACCTTATTTTTTCTCAGCACTTGATCAATATCCTCTAGAGACCACAGTCTACTTCTTCTACCCGGATCATTAGGGGATTCTTGAAAAACAATGCTTTTGCCCATTTCTTCAAGCATATCATGCATCCAGATAACTCTTCCATCGAAAGTTACTAATGATTTTTCTATGAGAACATTTATACCAACTGTTGGATGAAGCCCACAGTTTTCTAATATTTTTATCACTTTATGTTTGTACCATCCCTTAAAAAAGCAGGCAATATCTAGAAATATGGTCTTGTGTTCATCTTGTAACATGTCATAGCTTATTCTAAGCTTGTTTAGGATATCATCATGTGGAACTTGTTTAATCTTGATTAAAGCATCTTTCCAATCAGATATACTTCTTCCACAAAGAAAAGAACCCAACACTTCAAGAGCCAAAGGAAGGCCCCGAGCATATTCGACAACACTTTTAGACAACTCCATACAACCCTCTTTTGGTGCATCTTCTTTAAAAGCTTTTTCACAAAAAAGTTGAAGGGATTCACTTTTATTTAAGACTTTACTCTCATACATTTCAAACAATACAACATGCGATATCAAGAGGTGCTTATCCCTAGTCGTAACTATAATTCTACTCCCTCGACCAAACCATTCCTGACTTCCAGCCAAATTCTCAAGTTGGCCTTTAGAACTTACATCATCAAGGACAATAAGAACCTTTTTGTTGGATAAAAGGTTTCTTAAGCTGTCCTTTCCTTGGCTTAATGTTTCAATTACCATTCCTTTTATGTTCAGATGAGAAAGAATTTTAATTTGCAACTGTAGCAGACCTTCGTTTCTTTCCCCTGAGACCTCCCTAACATTAGCAATGAAGCAACTTACATCAAACTGGCCTTTGATTTTTTTGTAAAGAGCTGTAGTAAGAGTCGTTTTGCCTATCCCACCCATACCCCATATCCCTAGGAAACGAACATCCTCCAATCCTAGCTTCAGAGTTGAATATAACTCTTTCAATCTTGCATCAATTGCAACCAGTCCATCGTTATAGGATGGGAATTTGAGTTCCAGTTTTTTCCATACTTGTGCAACAACTTCTTCAATGAGTTTCGTTTCATGTCTGCATTGAACATATAATCAAGGCGTAAATTAAAATCATATATAAAAGGAAAATGCAAAGACCTGTTTACAACTAAAATGAAAATGAAAGGCATGCACTTACTGATCCTTAGAATCCCAGCCTGACAAGTTGGCGACCTCTCTCAATGCATCTCTCCATTTTTGCACCTTCTCTTTGCTTTCGGAAAAATTTTCTTCATGTTTCCTAAAAGCCTCGTAAAAACTTCCCTTTTGATTCCTTACATCAGAGGGATCCACACCATAGAAAATAGGGAACACTTGTTGTCCTGACAAACGTTTAGATTCGAGAATCTTGACTAACTCATCCAAACACCAAGCTGAATTAGCATAATTTTTGGAGATAATGACAACTGCTGAGAGAGATTCTTCAATGGCATGGAGTAGCTTCTGTGAGATTACTTCACCTCTTGCAAGTTCTTCATCATCTCTGAAAGTTATTATACTCTTGCGCACCAAAGCTGCATATAGGTGATCGGTGAAGCCTAAGCGCGTGTCTTCTCCCCTAAAACTCAAGAAAACATGATACTTCCATTTTGAGTTTTGTGAATAATCTTCCATCGAAAGAATTTAAGATTCAACTACAGAAATAGAAGGATATGCTGATTTAGATTGAAGCACCTGAAAATAAAATGAAAAACATTAAGGACAAGTTATTCAAAAAATTATACTCATGCAAAAAATAGTACTCACACCAGAATCAACAATTGGTGTCAAAGCAAGGGTACTCGCCAATACCAGTGAAAAGATGATTTTCAGCTTTCAAAATGAGTCAACGTCTCGAGATATGAATGTGTAAGAGTTGTCCACATTGGGAATAATATTTAGTCACTCTTAATTAATAAATTAACTGTATATATAAAAATCCTAGTTTTAACATTAGAATAACAATAGAGATTCGTGAGTTGAGTCACAGACTAAACATTGGCCTTTGTCATCATATCACATGCTTAAGAATAAAATAACCAAGCTTGTATTTATCATTGGGACCACCCTTTTGATTTGGAGCTTCCAACAAAACCCAAATTAAAATCTATAAGCAACAACAATAGTGCATGCAAGGCAAAAAGTGATAAGGAATAAAAAAAACATAAACATAATGATGCCATCAAAAGCAAACAGCAGAAGGACTCCATCACCACTCTGCATCCAAAACCACTACACCAAACTTCCGTTAGAACAAAAGTGGCTCTGAGAGAAACTCAACCTCCTTGGTGGCTGGTATATTGGAAATGACAACGACTGGGTCACATTTCTGTTACGATGATTCGGTCCTCCCTTCGGTGTCTCTCTATGTATGTAAAATCACCACTCACTACCATTGTGACGAGGTAGAGATCACTATATGCTGTTGAACTGGCAGACATTGATAAGGAAGGGCTATCTTCAGGTCCTAGAGTATCAAATTTCCAACACAAGTGCCACAAGTACAGCCTCCCCCCACCAGCCACTTGAAAGACAATCTGCAGGGATGTCCACTGTTATTGATGCACAAGTACTGAGGAAAGAACATGCTTTCTGGTCACACCACAAATAAAAATACACAAGCACAAAACTTTAATCAACATTCAAGAACTGATAATTCTTTTGATTATAGACCAATTGATCAGATAATCTCCGTAGTACAACCTATCCTATTACATACAAGCTACAGCTTGCTTTTTGTTGATGCAACAAATGAACATTGAAGAACTAATAATTCTATTGATTCTAGATAAACAAAACAAGATCTTTCTAATACAATGTATTGTATCCTACTTATGTGAACTTCTAATCCAAAGGTACTTAACTGCCTCTACGCCTCTAGGGCTCACATCATCGTCTTCCCCCGATCATGGATTCATATCTTCGTACCTGTGTCCGGGTCTGGGCTCTTTAAACTGTTCTGGTCGTGGACTACGTAAACCCTATTCAAATAACTATTGTGGCTACTGAGTGGACGAAATCAACATAATTCCAATGGACCGTAGTCTTGGGATATAGGGCACAGCGCAAAAATTACATTATCTAGTTAAGTAAGAACATAAGTGAGTCTGAGAGAAATTAGTCTTGGAAATGACAACCGTTGGCTCACATTTAATCTATGACTGCTTTGTAATTGGGGTGTATTGACCTTCAATACAGTTTTGTGGGAAACCCGATGTGATTTAAATGGTTTACTCTGGAGTTCATTTGTTGTGGTGTGCTTTTTAAAGCAGAAACCTTGCACAGGCAGAGGGAATAATGTAGCAGCTACCATCATTGACATTAAAATTAGTATGCTTAAACCTATTCCTTGTCTAATATTCTGAAACATTTTTCCCTGCAACAAGAGATAGTGGTAAACATGTTATATAAAGAATACCATGAAAACTTTTTAGGTAATTGCGTGTGGGAATTAGAGAGTTACTTACGAGAAAGAAATTTTCATTAGATTTTTCTATGTTCTGCACATCAAAAGCAGTAGCATTCTCTCCCTTTAATTCATCCACAGTTGATTCACACATACCACTGATATGCTCGGAATTTGAAGGTTCCATAGAAAGTTCACCGTTGTTCACCTCTTTAAAGTCTTCAAGATAATCTTCCTTGTGAACCACACGCCCTACACACTTCCTTATCTTGCACCCTTCCACTTGCACTTCAAAACGCAACAAACTGTTTTCCCTGAACTCTGGCTTCCGATGCTTGCTAAAGGATCTGAGCTCGGACGTTCCCTCCCCTCTTATGTGTCGCCAAATGTATATAAAATCACCACTCCTTACCATTGTGAACAGGTAAAGTTTATTGTTTGCTATTGAACTAGAGAAGAGAGATAAGGATGAGCCATCTTCAGGTTCTAAAGTATCAAAGTTCCAACGCGTGCACATGTGTTTGGTAGTGGTTTTTATTGGAAGACCAAACCATACACGATTAAAAGCAAAAACACAATTATCAATAGGATTAAATAACCCAAATCTGGTTTGGTATTGTGAAGCAGCTTTACTCGGGCCTGAAAGCCTTCATCAATTTCCTCCAAGGCCACAAATACAACAACTGCCCACCTATTATTTGAACGAAAACCAGTAGGGATCTTTACTGTTATTGATGCAATTGAGTCAGCTTCTGACACATATGATGAGCTCAAGGGGAAAAAATTATGATTATCAAATCTCGAAGGGATTTCCGTGTACACAGGATAAGGGTAATCATCTATCTGTGACAAAAAAAATTTCCTTGTTAACAAAAACCAGCAGAAATTCATGCATACATTGCAAATAAAAAGTGACTTTGTGTGTGTTTAAAGATGCACAACCTTTCCATATGAACTTCCCTATCTATCCCTCCAACAAAGACACACCATTTAAATAAAAAAGATCACTTTAAATTTAAAACTAAAACCACTTATTTGTTTTGTTATGTTTTACTTTTGCTGAGGTTTTTGTCTTCGTTGTAGAGACGGAGAAGGAGAAAGGAAAAGTGGACACCTGATTTCAATCTCTTGAAGCACATACCAACAACACGGGTGAGAGAAAGAGTTCTTTGTTGAATGATTCAAACAGCTTCCATATCTTTTTAGGATCTAATAATTTAGATTTCTTCCTATCAGTATCTATTGAGTAAAAGCATACATGTGGTGAAAGCCATCCCATAGAATGAAGATGAGGATAGTCTTCCATTTCAAGATAGTGAAACTTTGAAAGATTAAGAAAATGTGGTGGAAGCAATGGTTCATATTGAAGCTGAGGACAGTCTTCCAATTCAAGATATCGAAGCTTTGAAAGTTTAACAAAGTAGCAAGTGGGTAGGTGCAGAAATTTATTCCCTGATAGAATCAGTCTCTCCAGTGATAATAAGCCATCAATGTCATGGGGAATTGAATCATCAGTGATATTACAATAGCTCAAATCAAAAACAGTTAATAAGGAAAGACCTGAGAAAGTAGAATGCAATATTAAGCCTGTGTCAGCTGAGAAATACCTGAACTGATCCCCCCACTGATCCCTATATGGCCGACTCACGTCCCGTCTAGAGTCAGAAGCTGGCAAACCACATCCACTTAAAGATAATATTTTGAGATTCCTTAATTGAAGTAGGGAGGGATCCATTTCTCCAATAGCAGTTCTACTCAAGTCAAGATCCTCCAAAGTCGTGTTTTGCTTTATACCGTCTGGCAGGCTACAAATTTTTGAGCATCCTGATATATTGAGAATTTTGAGAGACTTCAGGTTACTAATGTTGTTTGGAAGGCACATAATATTTTTGCAATGCATTAAATTAAGCACTGACATGCTTATCATATTTTTTCCAAATTCAGGAAGTCTTGAAATGTTTGAGCAATCAGATAGAATGAGCATTTTCAAGGAATCCATTCCAGTGTACTTGAAAAGGTTTTCAGATTTGCACATCCTATCAGGCTCAATATCTCGAGCTTTTTGTGCTCTTTAATAGATTGGTGATTTCAACAAGGTCTGTACAATCATTAAGATGCCGCTCTTCAAGGTATGGAACTCCAGAGACATATGGAGTTTGACGTAGATTTTTGGAATTAACTCAAATCAATTACTTTCAGCTTTCCAAAATACTTAACAAAACAAAGGAAAATGGATAAGTATTGTTTGAAAATCCTAGTTATAAATGAAAACTCCTATTTGAAGCTCCTTACCTGAGTTCCATTCCACAGTTGTTTGACTTTACTATTAACCATTTGTAAGTGAACAAGCTTATCCAGTTGAACTCCAAGTGGTAGAGTATTCATTGGATATGCCCGCCATATATGCACTTTTAGTGAGCTAGAAAGATATTTCAGACCAAGGGAAAGATGCAGATCATATAATGAGTAACCTAAGATTACATATCTTTGAGAAGGCCTCGGGGTTCCAACATGCTTCAAATGACATAGATGGTGATGACTTCAAAACAATACCTTGAACAAGTTCAGTTCCCTGTTAAACAATATTGTCAAACAGGTAACACAAGATACAATGAATGCAATGCAACAAAAGTAATGTAACATTGAAATTGGGAATAACCTTATTATTTCTTAGTACTTCATCAATATCCTCTAGAGACCACAATCTACTCCGTTTGCCAGGATCATTAGGAGATTCTAGAAAAACTAGGGTTTTACCCATTTCTTCTAGCATATCATGCATCCCAATAACTCTTCCATCAAAAGTTACTAGTGATTTTTCTATAAGAACATTTATTCCAAGTGTTGGATGAAAGCCGCAATTTTCCAATATCTGTATCACTTTATGTTTATACCATCCCTTAAAAAAGCATGCAATATCTAGAAATATAGTTTTGTGTTCATCTTCTAACATGTCATAACTTATTTGAAGTTTGTTTAGGATATCATCATGTGGAACTTGTTTAATTTTGATCAAAGCATCTTCCCAATCAGATATCCTTCTTCCGCAAAGAAAAGAACCCAACACTTCAAGAGCCAAAGGAAGGCCTCCAGCATAATCGACCACACTTTTAGTCTTAGATAACTCAAAATAATCTTCTTCCGGTTTGTCCTTTTTAAAAGCTTTTTCACAAAAAAGTTGAAGGGATTCACTTTTATTTAAGATGTTACTCTCATACATTTCAAACAATACAGCATGCGATATCAAGAGGTGCTTATCCCTAGTCGTAATTATAATTCTACTCCCTCGACCAAACCATGCATGGCTTCCAGCCAAATTCTCAAGTTGGCTTTTAGAACTTACATCATCAAGGACAAGAAGAACCTTTTTGTTAGATAAAAGGTTTCTTAAGCTGTCCTTTCTTTCGCTTAAGGTTTCAATTACCATTCCTTTTATGTTCAGATGAGAGAACTTTATTCTGTAACTGTAGCATACCTTCATTTCTTTCGCCAGAGACCTCCCTGACATTAGCGATGAAGCAACTTACATCAAACTGACTTTTGATTTTTTTTAAGAGAGCTGTAGCAAGAGTTGTTTTACCTATCCCACCCATACCCCATATCCCTATGAAACAAACGTCCTCGAAACCTATCTTCAGAGTTGAATATAATTCTTCCAATCTTGTATCAATCACGACCAGTCCATCGTTATAGGATGAAAATCTAAGTTCCAGTTTTTTCCATACTTGTGCAACAACTTCTTCAATGAGCTTTGTTTCAAGTCTGCATTGAACAAAAACTGTAACATATAATCAAGGCATAAATTAAAATCATTAGTGTGCAACAAATGAAAGGCATGCCCTTACTGATCCTTAGAATCCCAGCCTGACAAGTTGGCGACCTCTCTCAATGCATCTCTCCACTTTTGCACCTTCTCTTTGCTTTCAGCAAAATTTTCTTCATGTTTCCTAAAAGCCTCACAAAAACTTCCCTTTTGATTCATTACATCAGAGGGATCCACACCATAGAAAATAGGGAACACTTGTTGTCCTGACAAACGTTTAGATTCGAGAATCTTGACTAACTCATCCAAACACCAAGCTGAATTAGCATAATTTTTGGAGATAATGACAACTGCTGAGAGAGATTCTTCAATGGCATGGAGTAGCTTCTGTGAGATTACTTCACCTCTTGCAAGTTCTTCATCATCTCTGAAAGTTATTATACTCTTGCGCACCAAAGCTGCATATAGGTGATCGGTGAAGCCTAAGCGTGTGTCTTCTCCCCTAAAACTCAAGAAAACATGATACTTCCATTTTGAGTTTTGTGAATAATCTTCTATCGAAAGAATTTAAGATTCAACTACAGAAATAGAAGGATATGCTGATTTAGATTGAATCAACAATTGGAGTCAAAGCAAGAGTACTCACCAATTTCAGCAAAAAGATGATTTTCAGCTTCAGAATGAGTCAATGTCTCCGGAAACGAAACTGTTTGAGTTTTCCACATGGAATTGATAATGTTAAGAGTTCCACATGGAACAATATATGACCTGAACATGTGTTTATAAGTGGGGGATTGAATTAGGCAACCACATCTTAATAGATAGTATTATTTGTTGGGAATATTTTTTTTCAAACTTGTGTACTTTTATTGCCATGGCTTATATCAATGTCAACTACAACAAGAATCTTAATATATTTAAATCCTAAGTCTTTTAAAATTATAAAATTCCAATTTGTTGTACATTTAATTGAAAATGTACAAGTTAAATATAAATTTGAGGCTTCACTTTTATTATTAATAATTAATAGCTTCTTCCAGCGTTCTTCTCTTCACTATATATCATGTGACCTTCTTCTACACTGGATATATCATATTTTTATTATGAATTTTCTTCAAATTATTATTTAAGTTTAGTTAGAGATAAATTCATTATTAATATCAAATAAATTCTAAACTAGAATTTGAAACATTATAAATTTAATTTGGCTGTGTTTATGTATCAATGAGCTCTCTTGCTGATACAATAAAGTTTTGGGTAGTAATATAATATTGCAAATGAAATTAGAGTCACAGCACAGCCAACAACAGAGGAGCTAGTTATATTAACATACCAGTTCACCAATTAGTGTCACAATCCAAAACTGAAGAAACATTTGAAAACTCTTTCGAGTCTAATGATGAACATTTTGACGAAAATGATGGACTATTTATCTTATCAATACAATTTAAAACCAGAACCTCCTTACAAATTTTGAAGGAAAAATACAAAAAAGCAACAAGACTTCTAGACTAAAGACCAAGTTCAGTGAGCAGATTGATTTGAGGATGTTTTCTTGAAATCTATCTTGTCAACCTTAACCTCTCCATCAATCAGTTCATACACGTAGACCACAACACGCAGACCATCAATGTCCATGAGGACAAAACTTGGGTTCACATCATATGTGATACTGCTATAGGCACCAGTTGCAGAACCTGGATTTATAACTACGCCACCTTCATGTTTGTATGCTGTAAACTGATGGGTGTGACCTGTCACAAGGATGTCTACATCAAGTTGCCTTTGCAGCATTGCTAGTGAATCTAGGTCTCCCCATGGAATAACCTTCAAAAGTAATAAGAACACTATCATCAGTTCAAGGTAAGGAGGCCCTAATTGAACGCATACACATACATGGGCAACATAAAGGGCCACAATGAGATAAATCATCCAACTTAGGTTCATCAGTTCAAGGTATTGCAAGGTAAACTATAGGAATGCCTTGATATCCACCCTGCAGTTTGTTTTTACTGTTGTCCTATGTCTATAACTTTGATCAAGAAAAAGAAAAGTATATTACCCTCTACTAGGCAGTAAAATCCTAAATTACTAGTCTCTTAGAATTTGAGTTTGATCTAACTCAACCCCTCAAAATTGGTTTGTAAGAAAGAAATTTGTTCCATTCATAAATATCCAATGTTAGACTTTCAACATTGTTCATGCCCACAAATATCTATTATAGATGAAGTGGGGAAATAGTCAAAAAGTCAAAGGAAACTCAAACCTGATGACCATGGCAAAGTCCAAGCTTAAATTGACCAATGGTTAGTGTTTTAGTCTCTGGATATTTGGTCTCTTCATCATACTCACCGCGAGTTATATGCAAATCTGGACAAAGAGTCTTCAAGTAGTCATGAACTTCCTGAGCATAATACACATACAATTTAGGTTAGAAATTCAAGCATTAAATTTGAAATCGTCACCCAGTTCAAATACCAAAAGAATAATTCACCTAATTCCACATGATACAATTTGAAAAAGAAATGCAATTCTTAATAATATTATAATGAATCCTCACTTTGACCATTTACGAAAATATCTGAAACCCTCATAAAGTTTGATTGCAGTAGGCATAATGGAAAGAGAACCCAACTAAACAAAATAATTAACACAGAAACAGTCAACTAACACATGCATTACTTGTTTCCATAAGACACAAACCGACACATACATACTTTAATACATAAATTTCCAGGGCAAATAATATGTTGAATCTTGCCCGGAACAAGCATGGACTTGAACTTTGCAGGGAGATCGGGTGCTCTGTGGGGCACATGTAAATCCCCTAGGGCCAACACCAGCACCATCCTCACCAATCAAAATCTGAAAACCCGAATGCAGAACCTAAAGAAACAAAATATCACCCATCAACATAGTATTAGTAACTTCACAAAATAATTTGTCCAACAAAAATTATCCAATTATGTATCCATAAATACAATAAATTAAAAAGAATACACATGTGCATGTGCACGTGCATACATGTGTTTTGAATATGTGTAATCCACACGTGCTCACATGCTTCTGTGAGCTCAAGAGTAAATTCTTGTGATCGCATGTGGATTCATAAAATCCCAGTCAAACTGCACTATACCCCAAATTCAATTTTTACACTCTCCATTGTAATTGTTCTGCCAAATCCCATTTTTTACAATCTATTTGCATGCATAGTTATAGAATCTCTCACTTTTTTATTTCAAGTGTGTGACAGTAAAAAACAAGAGGTGCATTTTGATCTAAATAAACGTTACTAGTGTACAAACTAACTATAAAATTAAAGTGCATTTAGTGATTCTTTAATATTCACACATGATGGGCACAGAAAAGGAAAAGAGGTCACTAATGTGTGTTGTCTATGTCCATTTTTTCTTTCTATATTTGAGGCTAAATCAGAGTTATTTATGTGTGGTGTCCATACTAGAGTGTAATAGAATGAGAAATCGACGTTTTGTTAGATCTAACATGTGATGTTAAAGGGCTTACAACTTATGTTGGATTGTGAATTGTCATGTGTATTTATGACTCCCTCTTATCAAATTTAATTCACTAGTCAAGAGAATCATGCTTTCACGCAATTCAAATATTAATGATTTTTCGATAAAATTTTATTTTCTACAAAAATATTTTTTTTTTTTTTTTTTAATTTGAAATATTAAAATTTAAATTGTCTTGATCTTAATCGAATAATTATTAATAGTTTAAATGTATGTTCACTCAATTGCAAAGAAACTCACTCCCTCTCTTACATGCACCGATTATGCTTAACGGATTCTTTTTTTTTTTTTAGTAGTTGGTTATTACATCTATTCACGTAGTTAAAAAATTATTGATTATTTCATGTATTCGTGTAACTAAAAAATTCTTGATCTATATCAAATTTAGTAATTTTAATTTTAATTTTTACGTGTAAAGATTTACCCATAGTAATGTTGTGTCTTTAAAATAATTTAAGAGAATTTCAAAAAGAATAGCAGTGTAATTTATTGTCCGTTTATTTGCTGCTTTATATGAGAGTAAGAAATGTTCAATACCTGACTCTCTCAAAAGAAAAGGTATTTATAGTCTTCAGTGCTGGATTAAAGTCTCCTCATTGGACTAGTCAAACAAGCACAATGTGGAGACTGGCAGGTTCTACGTGAGTAGTGGGGATTCGCACGTGGTCCTCTACCTGGATGACTTCCTCCGCAAGATCAGGAGGATATGGATGCGGTCTTTCCAGGATCACGAAGACTCTGTGATATTCAGAGACGTTGATAGTCAGCCCTACGAGGAGGATGCTCGTGAAGTGCTTCTGCTCGTCGTGGAATGCTCCCCGCCAGACGCGAGATCGTGTGAGGAGATAAGGCTTGGTCGAGGAGGGTCGGAAGGTGTCCTCAGAATCATCCTGACCGGTGTGCGAGCTCCCTAAGGCTAACTGGGTTTTCCCCTCGTGCAGTGAGGTCGCTTCCTCACGAGGAGTGGAAGTTTATGCCCGACGTGGATTGGGCCTCACGTGGAGTTGGGCCAAGGGCATGCTCAATCCAGAATAGGAGCCCCCCAAGTCGTTGCTTCTGATGAAGGAGTTATGACTTAAATCTAGCCTCTTCTTTTTATTAAGTGTGTTACTCTACGAGAATCTCTCAGTGCGTGGACGGAGAGAGTCGTCGGTATATGGGTTTACTCGAGTAGCTTTCAGAATGAACTCGAATGGCGTCGTTCTCGAACAGAGAGAAGAAAAGCGGCAGGGTATGGGAACGTGACGTGACCTTTAGGGTTGTAATGATGGCCTAGGGAGTAAGGGCTATCATTAGCTGAGTGTGTATGTGTCGAGGAGAAAGGCGGTTGCTGGGATGCCCGATGCGATGTTTCACATTCCACGTCAGCTCTATAAAGCGCCTCAAGGCCCATTATTCACATTTATATTTATGCGCTCTTCATTCTCTCTACTTCCAACGCGTGTCGTTCTCTGTAACCGTTGACAATGTTGCACAATCCTCCGCATGTTCCTCATCTACCAGTGTCGTTCTTCATATATTCTCTTCCAAGTAAGTATTTTTCCGTGACCTTCTTTGTTTAGATTTACTTTGATGTCGTTTTAGTAATAAGGTTTAGCCGCTGGGGGGTTTTTCCCGGGGGATTCATGGATTTAGGCATATTATTCGTGACTGAGCCCGCGATATTTACCTTGTCACTGACAT